CCATACGGCTGCTCTCCAATGTTAAGTCTAACTTTGAGTCTACATCAGAAAAGAGGAAATAACCATGGGATGACTGCTCTTTGTGTTTCCTTCATTTTTTGGACCATTATTTATCATTTTCTTCTCCGTCAGTCCATGGGAAGCTCCGGCCCACTGTTTTAATTCATTAGGAACAGAGTGGGCGTCAGCGTAATGGCACTCCCTGATGAGATAAAGCTTTGGAACAGCATAAGAACAGAATAAAAAATGTTGGTTTGTAGAAAACACAAGCCCGATTCGTAATGTGCTTCAGTGCTGCACGAAGGCAATTAACCTTCTTCTGCTTTTCAGAGAAAATAAGACTTTAAAGAGCGAAGTAAAAGGGAAACACTACAGCGTGCAGCGCCAAGTCCCCAGATTTCCACTGCATTAACACTTGAATGTGCTCGCATGAATACTAATGTATCTTTAAAGCCCTGCATATTGAAATCTTTAATGAATGACAATGAGTGAAGTGTTGCATCTTCTTTTCATCGATCAGAAGCAGAAAGAGGTTCAGAGTGGAGGACTGGCTGGCTGCAGATTTGAGATCATGCTATGTGGCCTGCGGCCAACAGACTAACGAATCTTACTGCAGCTTCCACTGTTTCTATGCCATTTACAGGCCAGATGCTGCACCATTACAGCAGAACTGCTCTCCCTCTGCGCCGGACATTTTCACAATAATGTAATAATTACATGTAATTACTCACATAACCTGCACAATGGTCTCTCAGGATGATGGGTACACCTAGTACAGGGACTCTCTCTCTCTCTCTCTCTCTCTTTTGACAGTTCCACTTAAGAAGCCCATTAAAATCCTTCAATTAAAATCCTAAAAACGCCTTTTGTGTAGCTTGAGGTTTTAGTCTGAAGGACTGCGGCAAACACAGAGTGACTAATTAAATTTCCCCACAAATTAACGAGACTCAAACTCTATGACGCTTTCAGTGATTAGCGGTTTTGATAGCAGTGATTCATTTCGCTCTTTAGTCTGCCGTCTCAGTTATAGCAAAGCCCGAAGATGCATCATATTTTACTGTTAATGACACAATATGAATTGCAGAAGGTGCCAAATAGAGTACCAGCCCACTTCTGCATATATCACTCCAGCTACTGTGTCTACGCCAATGACAAATAATGCCTTCAAAACAGTCTAATGAAAAAAATTGTTGTTAAAATAGGTCACATGCATCTACAAGAATCTGTCCAATTTGTTTAGCTTTGAGAACGATATAAATTCATCTTTAAACAGGATCGTCAATTTTACCAACCAAAAAATATCAGGTGGTGCGACCAGACGTTAATTATGCAGTTCCAGGAAAGTTATTCACCACTAGGGGTGGGCGATATGGAAGAAATACTCTATTACAAGATAAAAAGACTTTTTCATGATACTCAATACGTATCACAAAGTAACACAATGCACAATGCACTAGTAGTGCCACATATAGAAATGTCGATTATAAAATGGATAGTTCTGGTCTTAAAATCTGATTGGCTGAGCCGCGTTCAAAGCCACTGTAAAATTCACGATATATGCGCACCTATGACCACCTCACAACAACTGAATTGTGTTTTACTACACAATGGCATGAAAAAAAACCTTGTGCTGTTAACTGACTCTAATGCTGCTCGCATGGACCACAGAGTATATTGATAAAGTAAGAACCTATTTTTTGTTTAAACTGAGGGGCTGGCAACTTATGCTCTTAACTAGAACTAGGCTGGTCAGCTAGCTAAACAGGCTAAAAGAGCCAACAGCCTAAACAACTCCATCATTAATATCACAGGCTTGAATTAAAGCACTTACAGTATGATTTACTGTAAAACTGCACTATAAAAGTCTAAAAAATGTCACTTGAATGGCTCAAATCAAATGTTCGTGTTTCAGTCAGAAGTCGCGTCAAACCCAGGCTGAATCCCAAACGGCTCTGTATTCCCTAAATAGTGTTCTAGCTATGAAAGTTTAGAGTCCCAAATGAATGTTTCTTAGCTGTATTTTACACTGTTGGGCTGCAGGATCCAGTATTTAAATTCCTACGTAGTGCACTATGTAGGGAGCAGGGAGCAGGGAGCCCTTCGCGTCATGCCTAATAACACCCTTCCCATGATAAAATTGCAGTGACACACGGCCTCTCGTGGCTTATTGCTTTATTTTAAACTATCAATACAATAATTTTTATTTAGCGTCTCACATACTGAGCTGCACTGAATCCAATTAAAGAGGACATTTAATGCTCCCTTTGTAATGAAATATGCAGTAGGTCAGTGTTTTGATATCCATGACAACATAATTTATCACAATAACGATAAAATTTAATGACATTGCCCATCCCAGTTCACCACTACTTAAAACATGTATAGACTGGTCTTTGTACTTGGACACCCATTTAAACCTTAATCCTTGAACCCAAGGTTAAACAAATAAATACACATTATTATAATAATAATAACACATTTTTGTGGTTTTCCTGAGTGGCACCGCCTGACTTGGTTATCCAAACCAGCCTCAAAATTGCATCTGTTTATTTTTAAAAATTGTCAGGACTACAGACCTCAACATTGCACCATGAAGGTCAGTTGGGTTCTCTGTTATGATGCAGTACACTGCCCACTCTTTCATAAAAGCATGCCAGAATAAAAGTCCTTTTTTTTGTTGGTTGTGCCACATCGCATCGAGGAAATCAGAATTTATGTTTTTCAATGAGTTGAATACTTTTAAAGTTGCCCTATTGTGCAGCACATCATGATTTTGAAGGTTATAAACACAAAATCATGCCAAACTATTTCAATTATTTTTTTAATTCATTTTATTTTTTTAATAGAATAATCTCAAATATGGTTGGACGGTCGCACTACGCAACTTTGGAAGGCAAAAAAGCCTAAAGGAAGTTTGCTCTTATTCCTTGAAAATGCATTCACACACAGGAGGTAATAGAATAATGTGATATATATTATGTATTATTACATTATTTAATAGGAGAATATCAGACCCATCTCCTGCTATTCAAGCAAAAACATGTATTAGGCTCATTAACCACTGTGTAGTATACGGCACATGCTCACAGCCTGTCTCTACAGCATATCTTCATCCAGTACTTTTTTGGTGGAACTCTGGTTTCTGCCTTTCTGTTGGACTCTCTGTTCTTTCCTTGTTCTTCTCTTGTCTTTTCGTCTTTGAAAAGCCTCTGTACATTTACATGTCCTTGTTATTTTGCAGACAGCACTCAGTGTGATAGATGTCCCAGAGCGTGACGGTCACAGAAGTGCCTCATTTGAGACCACATCCTTTTGGTACCCCCACCCCCCACCCCCCACCACCCCCACCAAAGGATTTCTCAAACTGGGGCAATAAGGAGCACACTCACAGAAGGAAGAGATGACGTGAGTTTGGACTTAGTCCCAGACAGCGAAGTACAGCAGAAAGTGAAGCTTTCAGATATGACAAGGTCTCAGCAGGGGGGGTTTAAATGAACATGGTCTCGACTAAACGTAGCCAAACCGCATACCTGCACCGCTTTTTATCCCTATTTGAAGGCACTGCGTTGTTTATAAGTGAACTTTAGATCAAGGGGACATCAGTTCTGTCCACTGAGCGTTTATAACCAACTAAACCTGGCAGTTAAATATCACACACTTTTCTTATATTGTATTTTATTATTTTTTCTAGTCCACTTATGTAGTCTGCGTGGTATCATGTGCCACAGTCTTAATTCATTTTCCAACCTCTTTTAACCCCTTAACATTCCAGGCTTATTACATACTAAGGCTTATTATTCAGTAACTACAGGGACTTCAATGCAAACTAATGGAAGCTGTTCTTAGGTTATAGAAGTGTGTAATAACACTTTGGGCCTATGACTTGGTAAGAGGTTAGTTCTGCAGGCTGTTTTTGTTACTGTGCCTTTAAGATTGATACATGTACATTACCTCTGTTCTGATTGGCTGCCTTGTAATATGTCTAGCTCAAAAAGCAGCCCAGGCTAGGAACTTGAGCACACTATTTAAAACCATTTATCTTGGCAAAAAGACTGTTTTGCTTGTTAAACCTCCATATATAACTAGAATACATGCAAATAAGAATCAATACAGTTAAAAGTTACAAGAATCTGCCCATTTTTTGGCTTTAATGCAAAGAACAAAGTTTGGTTTCAGGTTTCTCCTGAAACCTGAATTAGCCGAACCAGGTATTGTAACACTGGGCTTCTTCGAGGGGAGGTTTGGAAATGGTTAAACGAACACACAGACAGAAATTCTGATTCATTTATAGTATTTATTGCTATATAAGTGTTTTCCAAAGCAAATAAATGCTTAATAACCAGATAAATAGTTTTTTTTTTACATTTAATTTTCTCTGGAGCCTAAAACTTTTTTTGTGACATCACAAAAACAATAAATCAAAAATGGGCTGTTTTTGGCTGAACGCATGGATTGGGATGTGAATGGCACATTATGAAATTTTCACAGCGTTTACAATACTACATGTACTTTTAATTGGAAAAAAATCCATGATATGGACCCTTTAACTGATGAACTGAATCACGTATCTTGTATTAGAGCAAGAACATCACCAAAGTAAGGACCAGAACCGATGAGCCCTGATCTAAGAGAGTCTTGTTGGTCTGTATGACCCAATAACCTACTGAAACCAGCCTGGTTCAAGCAAATTGTTTGCTTATACTGACCAACAGTAATTATTTAGAGTTTAGTACAAGTGGTAATTGTCTTATAAGTGATCCAGTGACTGATAAGAAAAGTGCTCTAAACCTGCTGTAAAGCAGTGTAAAGCAACTTCTCTTGCAAGTTCACTCGCACAAGTTCAGCTGGACCCTCAACAAGTGTGCTCCCTCCACAGTACAGCACTCAGAACCTGTTGCTTGTCTCAGCTGTGCGACGCTCAGCTCAAATGTTGGTAGAAGTGATTAAAAGAGCGCTGAACCTCCTGATTTACTGCTGTTGGTAAAAGAGCTCAGACTTACCTCTGAGACGATGCGCGCTGCAAAATCCAAGATGCGCGAGGAATAAGAGAAAGAGGAGCGGAGCCATTTCTGAGGAGCAGAAGTCGCTTTAAGTTCACACTGCGCTGAAACTCTTTATGCGCTCGCCTGTCCCACACACACGCACGCGCGCACACGCACACACGCGCACACACACGCACACACACACTTCCTCCCGATAAGGGCAGTTTAAACTCTGCCACTGGGAAATATGGCGAACTCACTATCCCTGGAAAGCCTCGTGTTTGCAACACCTCTTGCGCAAGCGGCCTGATGGTTGGCGATAAGACAAATGCGCAAAGGCTGCTCATGGTACAGCGTGGCGAGCGTTTATTTCTACTGTATTTTTGCCTTGATTTACAGCGTAGTGTTTTTTCAGCCTGTTATGAGACATTAGTTTATTATATATTAATCATTACGCCGAGGTATTTAATCATCTCTTTTGTTTCCGTTATTAGTGGACTAGGAGAGGATACATGAGTCATTGTACCATTGGGTGCGACTGTTTGTCAAAATTATGGTGTATAATTTATAATTTTAGTGTAAACTGTGGTCTGTTTCATTCAATTACGTTTCATTTTTTGAATAATGCCACATTTTATCAGTGGTGTTATTGATGTTTTAAATATATGTATTTTCAAATATGAATATACTTATTTTTTAAAGATACATTACAGCAGATAAGTGACATGTATATAATTATTATAATAATATGTTATTATTATTATTATTATTATTATTATTATTATTATTATTATTATTATTATTTAATTGTTAGTTACATAGTTACATACACTGGAATACACCTATATATATATATATATATATATATATATATATATCATTATACACAAAAGTGTGAACAACTTTGCACCTTGTAATTTTACAGTATTGAATAGTTACATCAAACATATATTAATGATGAATTAACACCACTGGCTACGTCTTCTACAATATACCACAAGTCCAGTCACTTTAACATATCACTACCAGGTACTTTTCCACACTACTGTAATTGACTGTAATAAGATTATACCACACGTCCAGCTGTTTGGATTTAGTGTTGGTTTCCTGAACATGGATTAAGCCTAAACAACATTCTGAATAGTGATTTTCCATTAAAAGGACAATATAGTCCAAGACCAGGATAACCCCTGTTCAGTAAACCGGCCCACAGACAATATGGCTCTGGCCTCCATTTCTTAAATAATGTACCAGTCCACCTTCTTTCCTGCCATAATGTCACTATTCATAAGCCTGAAATGAAATATTCACATCATAAGTCCACCAGAAGTTCATCTTTTGACAGAAACTTCCATCCAGGTACTTCATTTTGACATATTTATTCTGATCTGAGGCCTTTGGGGATTTGAACTCGGAGCAGAATGGAGGTTTCATTCTCATTTTGGTGAGATGCCTGTCTGCTTTCATCTCTTCATGTCTAGAGTTTTTTTTCTTTTGCTAAAATCACTGCACTTAACTCTGTCTCCAATATCCTCAAGCCAACCCTGAATCCACATCAGCGGCGTCTGTCTCTCTGACAGCAGCGATAACAGTTTCTTAAATGTAGAATCATTGAGTGCAGTTAAAAGGTGTGGAGAGATTGCAAACAAAGGTGAGTCCACAATGACGTTATTTTTCAGCCAGACTGCGGAGTTTCCTGAAGCCAAGATAGTGTTGAGATCATCTGAGCTATCAGAGAGAGTATTCACAGTGACACTGGCTCTGCCACCTTACGCTGATCTCTGAGCTACGGTGCTTTTGTCAAAATGGACAGGACTGAATCTAAGGGAAAATAAGAGGAGTAAAGGTGAGGATGGTTGGTCTGGGTGAGGTGTTTGTGCATGTTGAAAACATTTAAAGAACTGTCAGAAACATATCGCTGTTGTCAGAAAAAACCTTGTATCTCTGTTTTTGAAGTTTTTCGTTTTTTGACATAATCTGAAAATGCCTCCTGCTCTTTATACTGCGTGTACATTTCATGATGAGTGGACTAAAAGAAACGACCCAAAATAACTTGGAAAAAAGTCTGGTTCCATTGACTCACAGTAAAGTATGTTTTTTCCTTCTCCTGTAAAGTTACCATTTTGGACATACAAGGTTTTCCTCTGACAACAGCGATATACACCTTAATGCCTCCTGGACAATTGAACCATTTTGACTCCTCTCAGGGTTTCGTTGTTATAGAAGATCTCCATAGAGCTGCTTTATTATAACATCTATAGCGAAAAGCACTATACAAATAAAAGAAATTCAGTTGATTTAATACATAGAACTTCTTCCTCCCCATATTTCTGTGGAAAGTTCCAGTCATTCAAGTCAAAGAATAACACAGCAGCAATGGCTAGATAGCTTTAACATAGAGAGGTGGATGGAAGATGAATGGATGGAAGGATGGGTGGGCGGGTGGATGGAGGGAAGGGATGGACGAATGGATGGACAGATGGATGGATGGATGGATGAATAGATGGATGGATAGATGGGTGAGATGGATGGATGTATGGATGGATGGGTGGATGGATGGATGGATGGATGGATGGATGATAGGTGGATGGATGGATGGATGGATGGGTGGATGGATGGATGGGTAGATGGATTGATAGATGGGTGAATGGATGGATGGCAGGATGGCTGGATGGATGGATGGATGGCTGAGATGGATGGATGAATGGACAGATGAATGGATGGATGGATGGATGGATGATAGGTGGATGGATGGATGTAAGGATGGATGGGTGGATGGATGGATGGGTAGATGAATGTTAAATCAAATGAAACTGATTTAAAAGCACTTTTTATACAGGCAGCAGCTCAACGTGCATTACAGACAGTTGATGTTGATGATGACTGTTCAGTAACAGCAATAAAAGAAATAAAATTCTTTGGCAAAATAAATACCAAAGACATTTACAAATATAACTGAAAATAAGCTGTAAGTTAGCACAGATTACATTAAAAAGATGGACTGAGCACAGAGCAAAAAACAAATGACAGAAAAAAACAACAAAGCTCTCCAGCTTAACACCATTTGCACTCATACAAAAATACTCCCAGAGAAACATATATTATCACTGTTGGAAAAAGTTTTACATCTCCATTTCTGTGATTTTTCATTTGTTTTACATAATTTAAGAAACGTCAGTTGTTCTTTAGGATAATTAGATAAATTAGATAATTTAGGATAATTAGATAAATAGAAAATTTAAAGAAATTTGCCACATTAACTGACATTAACAATACAATAGTAATGAAAAAATCTGTTTTTGTTGTTAATGAACAGTATTCAGTTGTGTTTGCTTTTATACATCATCTCAGAATTAGCCATGAACGAGGTAGAAAAGAAACTGGAATAAAACTGAAAGTTTCTCACTGTCATAACATTTACAGAATTAAGTTGTTATTTTAGAGTTTTCTACTAGCAGCTTTGTTCCAAGACCTTTTACAGCTCAGCAGTACTGAGTCAGTACCAGATGTGCTTAGACGACTGGACAGTATTTGTGGTATAATCATGAAAACATTTTGCATTTTGCTGCTGGTTTGAGAGGCAGTTTTAACTCATATATATATACATATATATATATATATATAATCATGACGATTATATAGAGTATGTTATCAGAACTGATAAAGCGAAAAAACACATTGTGTCCCACAAGGTTCAGTTTTAGGGCCTTTGCTTGGTACATGCTATCTCAGATAATGTCATCAGCCAACATGAAACTAATTTTCATTTTACTCCTGAAAATCAAGATTCTGTTAACAGGCTTACCACTTGTGGAAAGCCACTTGGTTGATTGGCAAAACTAGTGGATTATGACTCACTTCGACTGTGACTACCATACTCTTCTTCCCCACTATTGTCTCTCTATAAACTCTAGTAACACTGCATGAATTGTATCATCTCTTCCTCATAGACATACTTCTTAAGCTCTCCAGTTGGAGAGCAACTGTACTTGGAGTGTGAACAGTCTTTTGTCTGAGACGATTTGACTCACTGCTTTAGCTGGCCCACAATTCACCACTTCTGCCTGTATTTCTCTTGAATCTATGGTGAATCACCCTGGTTAAAAGCAACTTTCAGTATACGCCTTCAGTGTAGGAGTGACTGAGACACACTCGTGATTAATCCTTTCAAATACAATGGCTAAAAGTTCAGGCCTCAAGCTACCCCTGCTGACCTAATTTACAGTAGCTGTGAGAACGTCACAATAAGGCTTTAAGGCAATCTGCTTAAGCGTTCTGAATAGATTTCTCCCGAAAAGGGAGAGTAAGTACTCTTTCCACGATGGATAGTCCTTTGAGGTCAGCAGTCAACAAGATTGCTTTGCATTTTAATTCAGTCTGCAAGACAAATGTAAATCTCTCTCTCCCTCTCTCTCTCTCTCTCTCTCTCTCTCTCCTTCTCTGTCCATCTCCTCATTTGTCCACCCTCTCAATTAATCGTGCAAATTGGTCGGAAGGAAAATGTTACCATTCCAAACAGCTCCTTTCAGTACAGCAGTGCTTTTTTCTCAAGAGTAAAGCCTTCACTGAGGCAGTCAGGCTCTTGGATGCACAGCTGAAAAATGAGTATTTCCATCCTGTTTTTCACTTTATCTCCAAGCCCTGGTCTCACTCCAAACCCTGGGGTGGGGGATGAGCATATCATAGCGCTCCCTTCCCAAGAATGCACACAGTTTTAGGTCAAAACATTTCAAAACTGTCTTACGTTATGATACACAGTGTTGTGTAATGTTCAGACTTGCTTGAACTTTGCTGGTGGGTTTGCCGGAATCACATTTTTGTCTAGATCTTGATATCCTCTCCGTGTCTCCTACACTTTAGCAAACTCAAAAGTACCCGCAGCAATCCATTCAGAATGGCTGGAGTCCAAGAATGAAGGCATATGTCCAACCACACAAGGGGAGGTGGATTAGCCTAAGACCAGCTTTGGAAAATGAAGTAGTGAGCAAGACAGAACTTGCCTTCATTTGGAAAAAAAAAAGACCACAATAAGAATTAGACATAAGAATTGCGGTCTTGCTTAGCTCACCCCTAATATTATATTTTATTAATTGTACTTTAATCAACTCCAAAAAATCTTAGCAAGCTGGTCAAAAATGTAGTCTCTGAGATTAGCTAACCAGCTAACTTTTCTGGGGAATTCAACCAACTTTATGCAGAATTCAGTCATTCTAAACAAAGTCATTCAGGGTGGTTTGATGTGAAATGGTTCATTTCTAGAGAAGCTGACCGACTCAGAT